GGGTAACATGCGACTCAGATTGATACCTAGTTACAATGTTTATAATTTACTTTTTAACTGTTACATGATTTCCTGTCAGTTGAAAAGATGGTTTGAGCACAGATTCCATGTTTCAGTAAGATAATGTTTTCATGAAAACAAAGCCCTCTACTTAGGAATATATGAATCTATTTAAGCATTGAACATTTTGTGTATGGCATTTATGACTATTTGAATGACACAGCTTTGCAAGCAAACATCATAATGCGCTAGATGAGAATTCATCTCCAAAAAAAGTCGGGCAAATCCAAAGAAAAATTGAGAAGTTTATTTCTGTCATGGTTAAATCAGTGCAGTGTAGCAGACGGTATTTCTGATAACATGTTAAATTGTATGAGTGTTAAAATTGCATTTTGTACGAATTTGCAGATCTTTGAATTTTTGTTGTTGTTGCATTTCAAGTATTGTTTTATATTTCCTCGATTTTCTTCACATATTTACATTTACATTGACAGGTCTCACAATGCCCTGCGATGTTTCAGCAGCAGCTTTTTTGTTTGTTTTCATTAGACATTGTAATTCCGGTCTGTGTTGTATTACTATTAATAATACGCTAAGAATTGTGTATCGTGGTGCAGTGTCATTTTAAGTCTCATCAACGACACATCTTTCAAATATGTTTTCTAGTGACAATACCATGCAAATTTAAATATTGCATAATGTTATGCCATTATCTTGCAGCTCAAGGCGACTGTAAACATGGATGGAAGAGTTTCGGTGATTCCTGCTACCTGTTCGCACACACAAAATTGTCTATGTTATTTTGAAAATCAATAGGGTGTTTTTCATACCCTCATTCAAATTACAGTTTTTAACGACGAATTGATTTTGTGTATCAAAATTCAGTCATTTGTTGGACTTTTCAATTCGGGATTTATGATGATTGTAATGACTGTTAGATAATTATATAATTATCGAGTGTTTTGTCATCGGATACTTTGGCCTGCCGAATTGACTATTGAAGATCTAGAGCTTCGCTCTAAGTAGATCCTGCAATTTTATGGCAAAATAAACAAAGCACGACAAGACACAAAGGTATCGATGTCCTCTATTAGAATAAACAACAATAATCAAAATAAAAGAGTGTTGGTAACGAATGAAGAGAGAGACGACGGACAGACGGACGGACGGACGGACGGACACCAACAGAGATAATCAATACAAATATGAAAAACAAATGTTTCATTTCAGCTGTAGGAATTTTCTTCTCAAAGGAATGTTGAAACAGGTGATGTCGACCTAATAACAATGACTTTATGTCAGTATCTGACTTGCTAGAGACAACTGCGATAAGACTGTGTATATTATCAGCAAAATGTACAGGACTTGACACGTTTGTAACCTTAAACAACCTCACTATGATAGCCTTTCTTTTGCTAGTCGCCATTGGATATGTAAATGCAGGTAAGCAATTGGATTTTAAACTTTTTTCTGTAACAGTTTTTTTTGTAAGAAGTATTTTCATTATCCATATGTACTCTTTTAAATGGAAATGGAACACGGGATCAACGTCCGTCACACACCATTACAGGTGTCGCCATTATAGATTTGTAACAAATAACTGTATAAGTCTGTGAAGTCCTTATATACGCAGACAAAGTAGCCAAGTTTGTGCTGCTGGAGGATCTGTTATACGTGTATTTGAGGTCCATCTAGTGGTTATAATACTGATAATAATAATTCGGAGTTCTTATATAACGCTTTATCACAACCTAGTTCGTAGGTCGTCGCCTTTGCAACCAGCCAACATCTTTCTCAACTCCCTACGAAAAGGCTTTCATTTTAAACATATTTATTGTCCAAATGAGTAAAAGAGATTTGACATACGTTATTGCAACTCATGAAGCCATCCCAAACAGCTTTCAATAATAAGTGATTACATAGACAGACAATTATAAATAATACAAGTAATGGTAGGAAGTCAAAAACTACATATGTAGGCCTGCATATATTTTATGTTCAAAATCTTTCGTGGACCAGATAAAAGTTTGCACATGTCTGAATAAATTAAAATTATCATCCAAAGCTAGGTTTTCGTCGACAAAAGTGGTAAAGTCACTTATTTGCATATCTATATTGTTAACTTATAGGAACAGTCATGTACGAGCAGAACTATAAGATTGACACCCCAAGGAGAAATGATAGGCATTTTCTCAACGGTGACCATGATTTGAACAGTTTGAATCTCTAGCTACATGTAACTGTGCAGAGAATAGATTATATCTAAGAGAACTGCATTGATGCCTTAGTCTTGTACGGTAAGAATGAATCACTTTGATACGAATTTTGTTGGATGAATTTTTCCAGGAAATTGTAAATTCGAAAATTAAAACCTCGCCTTCTAAAAAAAAACAATTTTGTACCATGTTTTGCCCTAGCCCGAGTTTTCTCTCCTCTGACACCATATTTAGACATTTTGACATGTATTTGTCTGGTGTGGGGCTAGGGCGCACTACTAATGAAAACATGGAGTTCTCCGACATCGTTTGGTATTTGGAGAGTTTTGAGGTGCTGACAACAACAACAAATCTCTATGAAAAAATCACATAGGCCTACCTCACATATATCGATATATGGGTTATTTATTGATCCAAAACCGCACTTTTTATCACTTACAGCTGCTACACTCATTCCAGAGTCCTTGGTTTTTTTCCACCAGAGCGACACCGGTTTTTTTAGATAACGCAAATTACAGGGGAGTGACTAATAAACAAACCGTACTGCCCCGGACCCAAAACGGAATATATTATTCTTTATAAGAGATTACCGGGCCGCTTTGTTTGTTGCTACCACCTCTTTGAAGGTTTCTCTCTGTACGTAACAGACACCGTTTCCCCTCAGGTACATCAGCTGACTTGGCCCAATGTGCAGCCAATGCGTAGTTTGGACGAAATGCATTTTACATTTTAGGTTTGGGGCTGCTGTTACTGTTTTCTTTGACCATTGTCACAGTCAGTCGTGCCGTTTCACCAGCTCCTCAATTATAATAATAATAATATACAACGTTTATATAGTGCCCTATCTGATTTGTAAAATTATTCTAAAGCGCTTTACAACATATGGATAATAGTATTAGTTATTATTGTGAAACAAACAAAGGCTAACAATCACCATTATACATTAAGCAATGTTCCTGATCTGGTAATAACCGGATTTGGCAATAGCGTTCACTTGTTTCCCCATGTTCAGTGTACTATCACAGTATACTCCTAGGTTTTTAACAGCTGGAATAGTTCTGACAACGACCTTGAGCTGGAGACCCATTGTTCTCTGACACTTTGGGGAAAATACGCTTAGTTCCGTCTTTTCCTGATTAAGCATTAGCATATTGGCGTCCATCCAGGTACTGATGTCTGTCAGACAAGCCTCCAGATTTTCTGATATTGTATCCCAACTGACCTGTGGTTTGATGACCAGACTTGTGTGTCATCAACATAACAGTGAATAGCGAAGGCTATGGCGACGACAAGTCTCTCCAATCGGTTTCTAAAATATAGGCATTATTTTCGTGGTTCTAACACCGACCCCTGAGGAACCCTGAAATCTAGTATTTTGTCATGTGAGGTGGTAGATCTGATGGCAACACACTGTCGTCGTTTATACAGCATAGTGCGGTATCAGTCACTCCATTCTATGACTCCAGACGTTTATGTTTATAGAGTATGCAATGGTCAGGACAGAGTCCAGATTGTCGTTGAATTAAAAACTCTTATTTGCACGGTTTTTATGTGATGCATACTTTTGCAGGTCATCTGTACACTATCAACTGATTGTAAATAAATAATAAATTACACTTTAATGAAATCAACTTTTCATAAATTCTTATATTTAAATCATTATTGACAACTGATCATCATCATGCATTATTGATTGTATTCCCCATTGAAATGTAAATGTTTGATGTATAGATCAATCCGTAGATTTACCTGACAAGATGAGAGGGGGGGGGGTTAACATGCGACTCAGATTGATACCTAGTCACAAACAATGTTTATAATTTACTTTTTAACTGTTACATGATTTCCTGTCAGTTAAAAAGATGGTTTGAGCACAGATTCCATGTTTCAGTAAGATAATGTTTTCATGAAAACAAAGCCCTCTACTTAGGAATATATGAATCTATTTAAGCATTGAACATTTTTTGTATGGCATTTAAGAACTATTTGAATGACACAGCTTTGCAAGCAAACATCATAATGCGCTAGATGAGAATTCATCTCCAAAAAAAGTCGGGCAAATCCAAAGAAAAATTGAGAAGTTTATTTCTGTCATGGTTAAATCAGTGCAGTGTAGCAGACGGTATTTCTGATAACATGTTAAATTGTATGAGTGTTAAAATTGCATTTTGTACGAATTTGCAGATCTTTGAATTTTTGTTGTTGTTGCATTTCAAGTATTGTTTTATATTTCCTCGATTTTCTTCACATATTTACATTTACATTGACAGGTCTCACAATGCCCTGCGATGTTTCAGCAGCAGCTTTTTTGTTTGTTTTCATTAGACATTGTAATTCCGGTCTGTGTCGTATTACTATTAATAATACGCTAATAATTGTGTATCGTGGTGCAGTGTCATTTTAAGTCTCATCAACGACACATCTTTCAAATATGTTTTCTAGTGACAATACCATGCAAATTTAAATATTGCATAATGTTATGCCATTATCTTGCAGCTCAAGGCGACTGTAAACATGGATGGGAGAGTTTCGGTGATTCCTGCTACCTGTTCGCACACACAAAATTGTCCTGGGCAGAAGCCTCAGTAAGCACGTGACATTTGTTTACGTATAATAGTTTACATACATCTGCATTATACAAAAGACCTCTTTTCGTCTTTTAAATTTGAGAACGATGGAGTTTTTCCTGAAATAAATAATTCTACAACACATACGATTAAAACAGATGTTCATTTATCATCTACGGCAGATCATAGACGATAAATAAACAATTATATATGATAGAATAATACGATAAATAATTCTACGAAATGTAAATGAAAGAAAACTGTGATGCAGCTTAACCCTAAAGAATACGTTCATGATTAGTCGTTCATGGCCATATTAAAGACCTGTATTTTTTATCTGACTTTTTTATAATGTAAAATTGAAGTCGACTAAGAAAAGATGTAGTTTTAGTCATAATGCTGCCCCGCGTTTCCTGAATGGTGAATTCGAACAGTATAATGTTTTTTAACAACCTGTTTCTCTGTTATTGTTATTAATCGTTTACATGTCTGTGACGCTGTTTTACATTTTGATATTGTAATAAAATTCTACATTGTATCTACATATCAAATCGCTGACCTACTTAATCACTGTTTTGTCAGTTTGTATTATGATACAATAATGTAATGTAACGTTGTTTTAAATATTTCAGTGCTAATAAAATAAATTTATAATAATCTAATATAACACTGTTTTACAGATTTCTGTTATAATGAAACAATCTAACGTAACACTGTTTTACAGATTTCTATTATTATAAAATAGTCTAACGTAACACTGTTTTACAGATTTCTATTATTATAAAATAGTCTAACGTAACACTGTTTTACATATTTCTATTATTATACAATAGTCTAACGTAACACTGTTTTACAGATTTCTATTATTATAAAATAGTCTAACGTAACACTGTTTTACAGATTTCTATTATTATAAAATAGTCTAACTTAACACTGTTTTACAGATTTCTATCATTATACCATAGTCTAACGTAACACTGTTTTACAGATTTCTATCATTATACAATAGTCTAACATAACACAGTTTTACAGATTTCTATTATTATACAATTATCTAACGTAATACTGTTTTACAGATTTCTATCATTGTAAAATAGTCTAACGTAACACTGTTTTACAGATTTCTATCATTATAAAATAATGTTTTACGGATCTACGGTTTAATAAAATATTGCTACGTATTACACAGTTTTACGGTCCAATGTCCATCACACATAGAAGTTAGGAGTAATTTTATAACATTTGCAGTTTTATATAAATTTGAATCATTATTTATCCATTCACAGGCGTCCTGCCAGGCTCATCATAGCCATCTGGCCACTGTTCTGAACGGCGCGGAACAAACTTTCCTGAAATCACATTTGAATGAAAAACACAGAATAGGTAAAATATGTTTGAAATCGTTTTAAATGTAACTCAGCATGCATACTATATAAGAAAGCAAAACACAATGCGTATGGCGATTTCTATTCTCAACTCTCTTAATGGATCTGTAATATCGCTATTTTGAATTTCGGAAGGTCTCTAATTTCTCATTCGAAATTCGATTATTTCCCCTTCCCTCTTACTGTCTTTCAGGCAACTGCTCTTTACTCATAAAAAGACCTAAATTGTTTTAATCAAATTTCCCTTTTTTCAGCTTCCTTTTAACACTTTTGATTCGTGTGCAAAAACAATCTGTTCCAAATTCTTATCCAAGATTGTAATCATCATGACCTACGTTTACAAATTTGATGAAATATGACAGTGAATCTCCTGCTTTAATGGAAAAAAATGAATTTGGTACTCATTTTAAATACAGAAAAAAGGAAGTACGTGCTTAAAAAGGTAATACAGAAAGTTAGTGTAAACATTTTCACTGCCTTTTTTGGCCATTCCGTCTATTACGTCTCATCAGTGGTATTAATGGTCAAAACATTGAAAATCCATGTCTCATGAGTTCGGAAACATATACAGAAAGAGAGCGAAATGGGAAATGTGTCTAAAACCTTTTAAAACGTTAAAAATACAAACTTTTGGCATCAATAGATTTTCAAAAAAAAAGTATTTCATATGCACCGTATGGCTCTACATTGCGGGAATATATTCCAGTGGGTTTGGTCTATAGGCCAAGGGGACTCATTTTTGTATAAACATCCTTCTTCTACCATAGGGACTTAATGTATAAGCAGAGACATATAAAGCCAGTAGTATATACGTCTGCATGGTTGTACAGAGGGATACAAGTATCCTAGTAATAGAGATGTACGGCAGTTACATATAATACATATAGTCACTAGTGATAATCGATGTTAAGTTTCCGAACAGATCTAAGTCATGGCCAAGCATTTGCTGAGTCATTTCATGCTATAACCATTTATGTTCTGATTTATGGACCACAATAAAGGTTGTTTAATTGAGTATTTTAATGATGTTCTCGAAGATGGGGAAAAAGGTCAACATCTTCCATTAAATTGGTGCTGCAGACTGACTTCTGATTATTCGAAATGTATGCATTGTCCAATGTCCCTATGCAAAAGTGTGCAGTGTCACTACGAACACTACTGCGATCTGCGTTGATATTTTTTATATACAAAATGTCTGTGTTAGGTCGGGTCCTGATTGGTCGACATTTAGATATTGACCGATGTAATAGATTTGATATGTATATATATTATGTAGGGTTGTAAACGATAAGAAGGTTAACCGGTTACTCGGGCGAAAGACCACGAACCGGTTACCAAAATACTGAACCGAAAAGTCGGACATGTGCTTACCCCTTTTGGGAGCCCCATGTTTCCCTGGCTTGGACCTACACATTATCTGCATTTGTATAGATGCGACCAAAATCGGATAGTTTTGTAATAAAAACAGTGTTCAGGGATTACATGTTAGTCTTAATTTTGTACTCTTTTGTAAATACTGATAAAGAGATGTCGCCAACTCCATACAAAATCTGAACAGATTTTAAAAGGAAGCCAGAATACAAAGATGTGAAATATCAACTTTCTGAGATAGAACGCGCCTGTACATGCTAGATGTAAAAATAATCTGAAGAGTACATACTTGAATGAGTTAGCATGTCTTAAAACATTTGTCAAGCAAATTTTGTTCTAAAGAATGATATTACGTCACATGATTTCGAGTACAGATAACTTTAATTGCTCCATCTTACTGCATTCCGACATTCGTTGTCCATGAAATATACTTACTGAGGTTACATGCAACTATTTCCGATGTGAACTTTAAAACACACGAGTAAACTATCATGCTGATTAATATATACATGTATGTTTGTGGTGTAAATACGTTTTCCAAACATATAATGTATTTGTTGCTGTTTATTATTTGTCTACCAAATAGAGTGATTAACCGGTTACTCGATCGGTAGATTGTTCGGGTACCGGTTTATATATAATAAGACAACCCTAGTATTATGGCATTGCGATCAGTTTTTGATGCATCACTTGCGACTACTTATGGTGTAACAGTTCCTGTTACGAGTATATATTGTTATACTTAATAATGAAAAAAGGAAATGTAAGTACCCTTCAAGAGCAATGATTTCACATCTGCTTTAGTAAGTTCATGCTGTATAAAAATTCGTGTCCTTTGTTCCTTTGATATGACTTGTATATTATTTTATTTACGGTATATCTCGCGCAAATTGTCTTTTGAAAACGTCTCTATGTTTAGAATATTTAGTGGACTGAAAAGTATATGAATATTAGATAAATAGATAAATACAGGTACTGCCATCAAAAGAAGTGATAGCATATGCGTTAATTCTCTAATAGTAATAATAAATAATATACAACATTTATATAGCGCCCTTTATGATTTGTAAAATTACTCTAAAGCGCTTTACAACATATGGATAATAGTATTAGTTATAATTGTGAAACAAAAACAAAGGCTTACAATCACTTTATATATTAAGCAAGCAGATAAGTATCGCAATGTGCACATAAATGAATAATAAAGGGTGGTATTTACATGACGTATTTGCAAAGAGCCTAAAATGCAGACATGAATAGGTGAGTTTTGATGTCTTTCTTGAATTTGTCCAGGGTATTTGACTTTCTAATAGCAGATGGTAAGCTATTCCACAACGTGCCGAAACCCTCGCAAAGCACCGATTTCCATAGGTCACAGAACGAGATTTTGGGACACAACAATGATTCTGACTCCGACCGCAGTGATCGTGACGGCTGGTACAGGGTAACAAGCTCCTGTAGGTATTTGGGAGCTGTTCCATTCAGTGCCTTGTCTGTATACACCAACATTTTGTACTACGACCTGTATCGTCAGGTAACCCGTGCAATGATTACAGCACATGTGTAATTTGCTCTCTCTTTCGAGTACGAGTAACCCCAGCCGTGCTGCAGTGTTATTAACCCTCTGCAGACGACTAGTACGTTTATCAGATAAACCACAGAGCAGGACATTACCATATTCCAACCGAGAGGTAACAAGTGAATGCACAAAAATATTGCATGCATCTGCAGTTATAAGTTGTCGGATACAGCCAATGTTCCTGATCTGGTAATAACAGGATTTGGCAATAGCGATTACTTGTTTCTCCTTGTTCAGTGAACTATCAAAGTATACCCTTTTCAACAGCTTGGACATTCTCAATAGTTCTGGCAACGACCTTGAGCTGGAGAGCCATTGTTTGCTGACACTTTTGGGAAAAGACGATTAGTTCCTTCTTTTCCTGATTAAGGTTAAGTATGTTGGCGTTCATCCAGATCAGACAAGCTTTTAGATTTTCTGAAATTGTATCCCAACTGTCCTGTGGTTTGATGGCCATGTAAATGTATGTGTCATCAGCATAGCAACGAAAGCGAAGGCTATGGCGACGATAAATCTCTCCGATCGGTTTGGAGTACAGGCAATACATTTTTGGTCCTAACACCGACCATTGAGAAACCCCGACATCTAGTACTTTGTCATGTGAGGTGGTAGATCCGATGGCAACATACTGTCGTCGTTCACTCAGATAGGACTGTATCCAGCATAGTGCGGTATCA